ACTCTTGCAACCAGCCGGGAAACAAAACCCTAAACCCTAAACCCTAAACCCATAAACCCTAAACCCTGAACCCTAGACCCTGAACCCTAAACCCTAAACCGGTTTAGGGTTTAGGGTTTAGGGGCCTTTTTGAGGCTGTCAGGGCCCTTCTGTATCGTTGCAGTCGTCTTAACAGTGGATGTCATTGCATTCCTCCAAGTATAGTCGTCATGGTGAGAGTCAACACCAATCGACAATCCCCGTTAGCATCGATAAGATGACCATCTTCATCTTCTTTGTCATCAGAAACAGAGCTTGATCGTGCTTGTGTTGGTCGTCTTAGGACATCACCCGTCAACATGTTCAGCGTCATCGTCACCTCCATCTTCGTACTCATTCTCTTTAGTCTTTGTCGTGGTCAGCAGTCGCAGCAGAGGCAGCAGCACTAGCCCCAACGTCACCTTCACATGGCTAGTAGCCCCCCCCAACCTCCAGCCACATACATGGTGGTTGCCTAAACCCTAAGCCCTAAACCNNAAGCCCTAAACCTTAACCCTAAACCTTAAGCCCTAAACCTTAAACCTTAACCCTAAACCTTAAGCCCTGAACCTTAACCCTAAACCCTTAAGCCCTGAACCCTAGTCCTCCCCTAACCCCTCAGATTTGCAAGCCCAGGAGCCAGGTAGACATTGGCGCCTCGCAGACTTCGGGGCGTGGGGTTGAGCTGAGCTGAAACTACCGCAACGGGAAAGCACCTTAATTACAATCTACCTACGACCCCACCTACTTACTTCCCCAATAAGCCAGGGAAATAAAAGGTTAACCTTTCAGAATAGTACTACATTATAAGAACCCAGAAAGTTGAAAGGTTGGGTATTGGGGAACTAAGCCTATCTGTCTATCTACCTATCTAATTATCCTGTCTCTGTGTGTGTCTGTGTGTGTGTGTGTCTCTCTGCGCGGGTGTTTGTATCCCAACATATCTACGCACACAGGTGTAGAATAAGTATATGTCCACGGTGGTAGCGTGATCTAGTGCCCCTGACGATGAGATGTGCGGGGCATTCAGGCGCGATTGAGCATAGATATGTGAATGAGGGTGTTTTGGGTTGTTTGAGATTGCTTGGGGCTAACATGGGCTAGGGTTAGGGCTAAACTATATACCAGTGGAGCACACTACCCGCTACCTCAAGATGACAAGGTATCCCTCCACTAGACCCTAACAGCGACAACAACCTACCCTGAACCCTAAACCCTTACACCTTAAACCCCTAAACCCTAAACCCTAAACCCTGAACCCTAAACCCTAAACTCTTAATCCGAAACTTCCCCTACTCTGGAAAAAGGCGAGCGGCCCTTGCCCAAACGGTTGGGGAAGTTACGAGTGGAGGTCGACACCACGGTGGCGTTGTCGGCCACGCGCGCCTCGCGGCTTGCGCTTTGGTAGTGGTGGGCTTCGAGCTCAAGGTCCGTGGCTCTCAAGGTGTGTGTAACTAAACCCTCAACCCCAAACCCTAAACCATAAATATATATATATATACATATAGTCCTAAACCCTCTAAACCCTAAATGCCTAAACCCTAAACCCCTAAAACCTAAACTCCGAGTTCAGGTTATAGAGCTCAAGGCTTAGGATGCTTGCATGTTTGGGTTAGGCGTTTAGCTGGCTGGGGGTTTGGTGGACTGTCGTGGCTACAACACTTAAGGCGTAATATAGGGGCCTTTACGATCAGAATAAGGTTTTTGGGCCCCTATACTTTTATTAAGGAACCCCTAAACAGTATGGGTAATTATGGAGGCCCCTATATTTATTTTAAGGACCCCCGAAATAGTATGGGTATTTTAGGCCGCTATATTAAGATGTCGAGAGGTTGAGGTGGTCGGGAAAGGACCGCATACTTGGAGGATCATGGGACTTAGTAAGTAAGGTTATAAGTCCCTTAATTGGGGTTATAAGCAAATATTAATATAGTTACCTTAATTATAACCCTACTTACTAAGTCTCATGATCCTTTAAGTACTCGAAGCTGCATACCGGACGCTCGGCTCGCAGGCTGTCATGCGTGGGTTAGTGCCAGCCTCCTGCGCGGTTTCGGGTTTGGGGTTGAGGGTTTAGGTTCGGGCATTAGGGTTCAGGGTTTAGGATTTAGGGTGTAGGGTTGAGGGTTTAGGGTTTAGGGTTCAGGGTTTAAGGTTTAGGGATTAGGGTTTAGGGTTTAGGGTTCAGAGTTCAGGGATAGGGTTTAGGGTTGAGGGTTCAGGGTTTAGGGCTCACAGGGCTCAAGGCTTCAGGTTCAGTGATTAATTGGGGCACTCGAGAATCAAGAAGTCTGAGCTCGAAGCGCGGGCACCTGAAACCTCTGCACCCAACGAAATCCATCGGCACAACTCCCCTACGCCAGAAACTCTGCTACTTATGTTTAGGTTTTAGGGGTTTAGGGTTTAGGGTTTAGGGTTTAGGGTACTATGATGATCATGCATTTTTTTCATCCTGAATAAGAAATCATTCCTACCCAATCTCCAAAACCTGAACGCTCAATACGGAGCCCTAAGCCACACAACCTAAAAAAACACCAACACCTGAAGTACTAGCTCATGGTTGGGGTAGTATTAAAAATCTAAATTTATATTCCTTATTGGGTTTAAGTACCCTGAAAAATGTAAAATGTTACCCAACTATGACAAAGGTAAGCCTTACG